TGTCATCGCCTTTCTCTAAACCGGCCGAGTATGTGCAGTTTAAGAGCATTTCCACACGAGGATGGCCAAATTTCCGCCACTAAACATGTACAAAAGATTGTTCACTTCGTGAGTTATTTCAAAACCGAAGTCTTCTCCAATGAGTACATGCCACGCCGAACCAAATTTTTTATCCACGTTTTCTTTGACAAACCGAGCCGCAGCCTGTTGAAAGTGAACAATAAGCATAAGACTACTTTACTATCTTTTCGAACAGCATGATACAGAGGAACAGAGATGGTTGCATTCATATGCACCGAAATGTGCTTGACATGGGAATAAAGACATGAGACGAGAACCGGTGAATACAGCATCTTGAAGAACTAATGACCCACAAGGGACTCGATGTTGCTCGTATTTATGTCCACCACAAGAAAATATGGTTCATTAGTCCTTCTAGAAAGTCAAATCAGTGTCATAAAGTCGGGAATAAATGCATGACATCTTTACCCTTGCCAGGGATTAACAGTGATGTGCAAATCACGTGTCCAGAATGATTTGAACAGACGAAGTTTTGCTTTGTGGGTTAACGTGATACCAGTCAACCACCACTAGCTGATCAACAGTATCGCAGAATTTCATCTAGACAGGATGAAAGCCCACTGTGCTGCATCCATCCCGTTTATGCCATGTGATCCGGTATTTACTAGCCTCTCTAGAGATAAATTTCGGGAGAAGCGTCCATTAAGTTGGTACAATTTCGTCCCATATTATCGGCTTTCTTGCAGCACAAATAAGCAGCCAATATTGGTTCTCATCATTCTGTAACCTGTAACCATGTACGTGTGTCGTTTTACATTTCATCACATCACTACTAACCTACATCGTGGGTACCAGCACTGACCAAATACCCGTAGGATACCAGATGCTGCATTGGTCAAGTAATCGGTGCCAGTGTGTATGGAAAATGTGCCTCAGAAAACTATCCACGATCTTTTTTTCCAAAACGCAAAATGTGTCATTTAGATTGCACCACCGATAGCCCACGCAAAAATGTCCTATTCCTAGATTAAAGCATAGCCAGGAATTCAAAAAGAAAACGTTTTTGTCTCCCAAAGGCAAAATATCAGGAAGGCATCAGACTGTTTAGACGTTTTGCCGATTTCTGGCTAAATTAGTGTTGAATGTTGGCAACACATTTACACTGGTCGTTTGAGACGAATTAGATACGTGGCGCTGGTCGGTTTTCTGTACACAAGATTCACTAACAGAAGTAGCATATAATCGAACCCTCTCAGATGGCAGTTCCACCAGTCGCTTTCAGAAGTCTCATCACTTCCCGAGCTGTTTCTAGCAAACTGTTCCCACATTTTTAGATCACCAGTGAGTTTGGGTGGCTGAAAATTGTCGGTGGCGGTCACGCCATCAGTTTAGATCCCGATGGCTTGACTGAGTGTTGAAGATGTTGGCATCTCAGACAACGTGATGTAATATTCATAGGTCCATCCCTCCATCCCACTTTTCCATTTCTATTGTAAGCCTTCATTGAAAAAAACTGGCATGGGTGTTTAGGAGTTAATCCCTAAATCTTTCATCTGGTTTTGCCGTCAGTGATTGTTTGACGACGATGGGCAGTATTCGTGTGCCAAACTATGAGGTCCTTCTTTCGTTAATCGACCCGGCACTTTTTAACAAGCCTGTTCTACTTTGTAATTACTTATGGAAGTCTACAGCCAAGTTACTAAATTTTACAGAAAATGCGTTCCACCGTTCACTGTGGGCCAAAACTAGCCGCAGTAATTGCAAAGCATCTAAAATATCCATTTGCATCTCTGTGCAATATTTTGGTTATTTTATTGATCAAAATAAAGTGACAAAATCGGTTGGCGGCAAAATTAAAATACACCATTCAAGAAGTTGCAACATGTCATAGGAGGACAGCGATTCCACTAGGTATGGCGTCTATTTGTCTGGAATCCTGCGCGTGTTCCCACTGTGTTTTGGAAGATACATCGTAAACTTATGCAGTGGCATCTCAAACTGCACTCTCTTTCCTCATATCAAAACTCCCAAGTCGCAACGAAGACGCTCTTGCTTCTTATTTTCTCCATACAGTCATGCACCTGAGTTTTTGTGTCAGATGACCGACTGGAGAACCAAATCTCTCAAACTTATTTTACGCAACATCCTCGTCACCGAAATTACTATTAAAATAAAATACCAATGCTTACTTCCAGAATACCATATCAATTGACACAGATAAACCACGGCATCAAGGCATGACTAGTGCCTGCACCTCAAAAACGTACCTACTTCTTAACATTTAGTCAAATAGTCGAGAGAGCGTAACCCCCCTAACCAATAGTTTGACCTGACGTGCCGAAAGCTAACGATGTTGAACGATGCTTCGTGTCGAATGAAGGATTCAACAAAAACCTAATTTTTGACGGTGCGTTGATTCAATGGCCTAAACTGGAATGCGCCACATAAGCTAGCGAATATGTTGTGTTTATTTTCACCCCCGGTCACGACCTGCACCAGTCGCTACCTACAAAACGCACCAACCCCCAAGTAAGTGGTCTGACCTACTTTGGGAAGAAGCTGCCTTCCAGGTCTTATCTTCCGAGTGCACACAACTGAAATCAGGCTATCGAATTCTTTGGTATGCTCTCTGCTAGTACACGTTAATGAGGGATGGTCTTATCCCGGAAAGTTGAAATTTCAGCAGAAAATTTGCTTTGTTTTGTATGACCTGCTTCTTGCAGGCGAGGCTTTGACACGGGGTAATCACTGAGCATCAAATTTCGGTTGTTTCTTATTTATTTTCGGGATCCTTAGAATGTGAAACCTGTCGCATTTACCTACTGCATCATTCTATCCCAAAAAATGTTTACTGCAAAGAATGACAGTGTAAACCTCCAAATAAACCGTGTAAGATCCAAAACAGAGCTTTATGCATCTGCTCAAACACCTTGTCGCTTCCATGAAACAAGAAATTTATTCGTAACATAGATCTTTCCTTTATATGTTATATTTTGAAAAGGTCTCTAGAAATGTGGCTAATCTCACTCCTTCGTAATATTTCCACTCTACAACACTCAAAAGATTTCTACGTAGACGGCAGAGACATGTTTCAAATTTTGTACAATGCGGTCGAAATAATCATGGCGTTTTTAATCCAAAATGTTCATCTAGGTGCATCACAAGAAGAGCTTTCGAACCTAATAAGCTGGCAAAACAGCTCCACAGAGAACCTAGGGTTACGGGAGTGGCTAACCGCCCTGCAATGATAATTTTCGGACAATGTATATGTTGGTCTCTGATGCAGATCAATTTGGCTGTCAGGTTTAGACTGAGGAGAATAAAAGTCAAATTATAGAGTCTTCAACTCACTTCATTATCCGTTGGAAATTTCTCGCAACCTGTCACACACAGCTCGGTAACTTCAGCTTTCATGTCCTCATACATGTCGCATTGCTGCGAAAATAACCGGAGAGTGGGAAGTTACTCCAGTTATTGCATGCACTGTCTCGTTATGCGTTTCATTAATACGGTTGTTGAACTTTCCTACTACATAACCTGGAAAAGCCACATCAACCACATATTCAGGATAGAGCCAAAAGACTGGATCCAATAAAATTTTGCAGAACGCGATCTGCAAATAATTAGCGCTCTGTATGACTCGTTGTGCACTTAAATGATGCTGCTTGATCCTTCAACTGCGGAGGCCAATACCAGTAATGTTGTTGAATATGGTCGAATATGATTTGCAACTTGAGTATCATCATCGACAGCATAATGTCATTGTCAGCTATGATGATTCGCTGCCATACAGCAATGGGTTACTTGGATGCTCCATTTGAAGGAAATAATAACAGAGAAATTTGAGTGATCCTGATGATTCCAAGAGACCTACACTCTCAAATGCTCATTCACTTTATCTGGATAACAACTGACAACAAGAACGCCACTAAAATCAAGTAGCAGCCATATATTGTAGCAGTAGGAATCACGTGGTTCAATACTGGTAGGCTAGTCGCAGCCATAGCATTCAGACGTTTCGTGATATCTTTCACACATATCTGATCTGTAAATGATTTGCCATCACTCTGTTTCCGACACTCTGAATTGGGCACGGGAAACAACACACTCTTTGGTAATCGATAGTCCAGCACAAGTAATATATGGCCCAAACAACTCAGCTTCCGGTGCTGAAAATGTTATTTAACGGAAGTCACCATTGCACAGCGAAAATTTGCTTTTCGCTTGCGTGGTTGCGGATTCATTGACACAAACCCAAACGAGCCATGGTTCTGAGACAATAGCAGTCGAGTAGCTGAAGACACCTCGGTTACGCTGATCAAACAGGCCAAGCCTCACAACCGTGCGGTTTGTACTGTAGCCTTATACACACGTCCCCGGAGACTGAGGGCCATCACGGAGAGACTGAACCTTACCGTAGTGTGACGGTTTGCGCATCTCAGCAACCCCTCGGGCTATACTGGGAGGTGTCCTCGGAACACTCAGGGAGTCACTCATACCAGATTGGTCAATGGTTAGAGGTCTGACAAATACATTCCCCTGGTCCTTCTGGTCGGGGGTTGAGACACATGATGACTCGTTCCGTAGTAATGGTAATGCGCTTTCATCTCCCACCAAACACCGCTGCTTTGCGGTAAGGCTTTTGCGTCGAGGGCCCAACTCGTCCTTCTGTCTAGGTGTGGGCGCCCTGACAGTATCTTAGCCAATGTACATCCATAACGCTTACAACTAACAATAATTTCACACCTAATCAGCCGTCGTGTGGTGCCATTAGCCAAGTCACCTTACTCGCTGCACACATCAGGGGGGGCAGCGAAAACAAGCTACTGCTGACACCTCTCTTCTTCCCCTTTCATACATTTTTTCCTCCCCTACCCCATTACCAACCCTCTCCTTGTAGGCCTAGCACTTTGGACTGATGAAGTCGTTCGCAGAACGTGCTCATCATATGGCACCGACATCCTCAGGTATCTCTAAATCAATTCTCAAGTCTAGACACCTAGTATGTTTAGCCACCTTTGACATCCGCGCTCTGAAACAAGTAAGACAACAAGCCGTCTTGCTCCCACACTGGACTCGCTGGGCACTGAAGTCTACTGTGTCACAGAAACAAGCACTTAAGGTGCAATCACAATAGTTGGGCTAAACGTCCATCAGTCCCCACACGCTGCTAGCTGCGCACGTCTGGTGGTGAAGAGGCTGCTGCGTCCAGATGTGCAGGGGTTGGTCTTGTCCTAAGTCACTTGGCGGAAGTATTCTTGTTTGACTGAATACCTGTTGATAGTCGGTTCCGCGGTCCGTCTGGCATCGTCCATGAAGGAGCTTCACAAGCGGAGTTTTGAATGCACAAGTGATCAGTCAGCCTATTCGAGACTCAGTTGGAAGGTCGGCATGGATTGGACTCGGCCCGTACGGACAATGGGGAACGATTGCTTCAGCTGTGTGTTAATCGCAGCCAGTTTTTATGCAGTATGAACTTCTGAAATATCCGTATTCATCTGGTCACATGGTGCCCTCCAACGGCAGGCCTGTCACAAACTCAAATCGATCACATTGTCATCAACTACCGATAGCGTGGACCAATAACTGACTGCTGGTCGTTTTGAAACAAATTTGTGGGTTTCGACCACACGCTTGTCCGAGGTGGCTGCTCCTCACGTTTTTCGTGTTCGCGTAAGGTGCAGAAAAATCGCCTGGCAGCAGAAAGACTAGCAGATCCGAATGTTAGGCAAGGCTACTAGAGTCGTCTTCTAGAATCTCTTCCAAATGCTCCACCATCAGATGTAGACTCATACTGGAACGAGATTGCCACTACTTTGCATAGTGCTGAAAATTTTGCCTGTGGCATAGCACCAGGCTTATTCAAGCCCTGAATATCAGACCAAAAACTGGCACTGCTTAAATCTCGGCGAAATATCCCAACCGACCCAGAAAATAAATTGGTGCAACAAATTATCAGAAGTCAAGGAAAGCTGAGCGTGCAAGCCGACTGTGAGGTGTGGTGGACATAGAAAGCCAAGGAAATGGAACAGTCCAGAAAGCCACCAAATCCCGAATATTATTTCGGTTGATTCCTTCAATTGTTCCCGAAGACAACCCATGAACGAAACCATCGATAATCAGAATGGAACGGCCATCTCGAATAAAGAACACATTGACCATTGGACCTAATACTTTGAACGATCGCATTGCTGCGAAAATAACCGGAGAGTGGGAAGTTACTCCAGTTATTGCATGCACTGTCTCGTTATGCGTTTCATTAATACGGTTGTTGAACTTTCCTACTACATAACCTGGAAAAGCCACATCAACCACATATTCAGGATAGAGCCAAAAGACTGGATCCAATAAAATTTTGCAGAACGCGATCTGCAAATAATTAGCGCTCTGTATGACTCGTTGTGCACTTAAATGATGCTGCTTGATCCTTCAACTGCGGAGGCCAATACCAGTAATGTTGTTGAATATGGTCGAATATGATTTGCAACTTGAGTATCATCATCGACAGCATAATGTCATTGTCAGCTATGATGATTCGCTGCCATACAGCAATGGGTTACTTGGATGCTCCATTTGAAGGAAATAATAACAGAGAAATTTGAGTGATCCTGATGATTCCAAGAGACCTACACTCTCAAATGCTCATTCACTTTATCTGGATAACAACTGACAACAAGAACGCCACTAAAATCAAGTAGCAGCCATATATTGTAGCAGTAGGAATCACGTGGTTCAATACTGGTAGGCTAGTCGCAGCCATAGCATTCAGACGTTTCGTGATATCTTTCACACATATCTGCCAGGTAAATGATTTGCCATCACTCTGTTTCCGACACTCTGAATTGGGCACGGGAAACAACACACTCTTTGGTAATCGATAGTCCAGCACAAGTAATATATGGCCCAAACAACTCAGCTTCCGGTGCTGAAAATGTTATTTAACGGAAGTCACCATTGCACAGCGAAAATTTGCTTTTCGCTTGCGTGGTTGCGGATTCATTGACACAAACCCACACGAGCCATGGTTCTGAGACAATAGCTGTCGAGCAGCTGAAGACACCTCGGTTCCGCTGATCAAACAGGCCAAGCCTCACAACCGTGTGGTTTGTACTGTAGCCTTATACACACGTCCCTGGAGACTGAGGGCCATCACGAAGAGACTGAACCTTACCATGGTGTGACGGTTTGCGCATCTCAGCAACCCCTCGGGCTATACTGGGAGGTGTCCTCGGAACACTCAGGGAGTCACTCATACCAGATTGGTCAATGGTTAGAGGTCTGACAAATACATTCCCCTGGTCCTTCTGGTCGGGGGTTGAGACACATGATGACTCGTTCCGTAGTAATGGTAATGCGCTTTCATCTCCCACCAAATACCGCTGCTTTGCGGTAAGGCTTTTGCGTCGAGGGCCCAACTCGTCCTTCTGTCTAGGTGTGGGCGCCCTGACAGTATCTTAGCCAATGTACATCCATAACGCTTACAACTAACAATAATTTCACACCTAATCAGCCGTCGTGTGGTGCCATTAGCCAAGTCACCTTACTCGCTGCACACATCAGGGGGGGCAGCGAAAACAAGCTACTGCTGACACCTCTCTTCTTCCCCTTTCATACATTTTTTCCTCCCCTACCCCATTACCAACCCTCTCCTTGTAGGCCTAGCACTTTGGACTGATGAAGTCGTTCGCAGAACGTGCTCATCATATGGCACCGACATCCTCAGGTATCTCTAAATCAATTCTCAAGTCTAGACACCTAGTATGTTTAGCCACCTTTGACATCCGCGCTCTGAAACAAGTAAGACAACAAGCCGTCTTGCTCCCACACTGGACTCGCTGGGCACTGAAGTCTACTGTGTCACAGAAACAAGCACTTAAGGTGCAATCACAATAGTTGGGCTAAACGTCCATCAGTCCCCACACGCTGCTAGCTGCGCACGTCTGGTGGTGAAGAGGCTGCTGCGTCCAGATGTGCAGGGGTTGGTCTTGTCCTAAGTCACTTGGCGGAAGTATTCTTGTTTGACTGAATACCTGTTGATAGTCGGTTCCGCGGTCCGTCTGGCATCGTCCATGAAGGAGCTTCACAAGCGGAGTTTTGAATGCACAAGTGATCAGTCAGCCTATTCGAGACTCAGTTGGAAGGTCGGCATGGATTGGACTCGGCCCGTACGGACAATGGGGAACGATTGCTTCAGCTGTGTGTTAATCGCAGCCAGTTTTTATGCAGTATGAACTTCTGAAATATCCGTATTCATCTGGTCACATGGTGCCCTCCAACGGCAGGCCTGTCACAAACTCAAATCGATCACATTGTCATCAACTACCGATAGCGTGGACCAATAACTGACTGCTGGTCGTTTTGAAACAAATTTGTGGGTTTCGACCACACGCTTGTCCGAGGTGGCTGCTCCTCACGTTTTTCGTGTTCGCGTAAGGTGCAGAAAAATCGCCTGGCAGCAGAAAGACTAGCAGATCCGAATGTTAGGCAAGGCTACTAGAGTCGTCTTCTAGAATCTCTTCCAAATGCTCCACCATCAGATGTAGACTCATACTGGAACGAGATTGCCACTACTTTGCATAGTGCTGAAAATTTTGCCTGTGGCATAGCACCAGGCTTATTCAAGCCCTGAATATCAGACCAAAAACTGGCACTGCTTAAATCTCGGCGAAATATCCCAACCGACCCCGAAAATAACTTGGTGCGACAAATTATCAGAAGTCAAGTAAAGCTGAGCGTGCAAGCCGACTGTGAAATGTGGTGGACATAGAAAGCCAAGGAAATGGAGCAGTCCAGAAAGCCAGCGAATCCCGTATATTATTTCAGTTGATCAGTTCAATTGTTCCCGGAGACAACCTGTGATCGAAATCATCGATAATCAGAATGGAACGGCCATCTCGAATAAAGAACACCTTGACCATTGGACCTAATACTTTGGACGACAGTGTTCGTGGGCACCAGCTGCCACTCAACTGAAGCCCACATGTGACGTAGAATCTTAGAAGGTGAACTTGGAACCACCTATGGCCTCGGAGTTTCACGACTGCATATGTTCTCTCAAGTGCCACCGAGCTCTTGTTTCGGATGCGCTCCCACCAGCGTTGTTCAAAGATGGGAGTAAAGTCCTCAGTCAGTGCTTGTCTGATCTGTTTGCTTGTCCTCGAAAAAAGGAGTCTGTTCCAGGCAACTGGAGAGCGCCGGTGACAGTGCATATCTTTAAAGAAGGGGCCCGTAGTGAGTTGGATAACCACAGGGAGATCAGATTAACCCTCGGTCGTAACGAGACATTTGGCGTCACTAATGCTTCGTCGCCTTATGGTGGCTCGTGAATTCGAAAGCAGCAAGCAAAATTCCGGCCTGGTGGGGTTGCGTCGACATTCTTTGCACCCCAGCACGCTGTGTGTACAAAAAAAAACAATATTTCTAGTATTTCTGGATTTTCAAGTAGTATTCGACTCGTTTGACCGGTTTGTTCTTCTTGGCATGCTTGCCCAAGAGGAATGCCCCGAAAATTTGTGAAAATAATAAACTCTTTGCATTCTCGAACTTTTGGACGCGTGAGAGTGTATGGTAAGCTCTCCACAAGCTTCCGTAAACACGGTGGTGTCTGTCAGGGATGCTGACCTTCTCCATGCCTCTTTAATTTCGTGATAAATGAAATAACGGGACAAGCGCTGGAAGATGTCCAAAACCTCGGTGTTAAATAGCATGCGACAGAAACCTTGTCGATCTGGAATAAGCATAAGACGTCATTCTCATCTTCAAAAAGGAGGAGAAGGCACAAGTTTTTTTGGAACTGACCAAACCCATCCAGTCTTTTGGTATGTACTTTGAACCCACAAAGTGTATGGTCATGCTCCTAAACACACAGTTACTGAACACGCCACTTATCTCTCATATAGAGGCACTGGAAGTTGTGGAACGTTTTACGTATCTCGAAAGTTGTATCAGTTCTGATTGTAGTGGGACAGATGTGGTCAGTGCATGAATCTGCAATGCCCGGGGCGCGTTTGCCAATTTGAGAAACCTATGGCGTCAAAGTGGTGTACCCCTTAATCTCAAGGGACGCGTGTATCAAACTAGTACGGGTTGGTTGGTCGGTTCGGGTAGCGGAACTAAAAAGTCTTCATGTTATCAACAATTGTTGTCAGCGAATCCTCAACGAGACAATTAGGAACCCAGTTTGCGGTTAAAGAATGTGTCCAGCACCAGAAGCTTCGCTGCTTGGCATATGTATTGAGTATCCCTAACCATCAGTTGCCAGTAAACGTGCTGTCTTTTTATTTCCGATTTAGAGTAGCGAAATAAGGGTGGTGGCCAACCCTTGACCTGGCAGAGAAGTATAAATATTACGATACGTTTGGGTGTTGTTGGAGCTACTCACCCTCCTGGATAGAGACCGCATGATCCCTACTGCGCCCGTTGGTAACACTGTGAAATATAGCCGCCAACAAATAACAGTGGCCTTCTTGTTATCAGGTACTATCCAGATTGCCCGAATGAATGTATGAAGATGTAGGCACATCGGAATGATCGTAGCCAGCAGCTAGTTTGTTCCCCGTCTACCTCTATTATTTTATTCACAATGAGGCTTTCAGGTAATCACGGTTTTACGACAGTGATTTATTGGTGTTGAACACTAAAGTCGTGCTGTCAGTGATGATGATGAGATTCGGCTTTGACGCCATAGATGTCCCAAACGCGACATGAGCCTTCTAGGTTCGTTTACTGACCGCATCACACTACGATTGAAACTAATGCGAATTTCAAGATAGTTAAAACCCTCCACAGCTTCCAGCGTGTCTTCATGGATTCACGCTCAGTAACAGCATGTCCAGGAGTATGGCCTTATATTTTGCGGGTGCAAAATGTACTACAAATAATCCTCCACAGCTGTTTCAGAAGGCCTCCGTTTGTTTGTGCTAGGCAAATAAATCAGACAGGCTCTGAGTGAGGACTTCAACGCTGCCTTCGAACAACACTATCTGTGTGTTTCAAGTTCATTAGGCAAAATGGTCTGAAGGTTTACTACAGCATATCCGAACACCAACTAAATCGCCCTCAGCTTTCCCGACTGATCAGCTCGCAGAGTAACTCAAACATACACTTTGCGGACCTCTTCTTTATCACATTCGTCAAAGCGTATGCCCCGCAAATAATGATTTTGGGGTATAGTTAGTCTGATCTTTTATACGTCTGCTCAATAAACTAAGAGGCAGTACGATAGTGAACAACTTTCCGTTTTGAAAAATGTTTCTTTATCAGATCTGGCATATTATAAATGTAGCCTTTTGGTGCCGACGGCTCTGAGAAAAAGATGTCAAATCAAACGGCACCTTTGGTCTTTCATGTGACTTCAATTACCTGAAGAACGAATTGTTTACTTCAAACTCTTCGTTTGCATTTATGTCCTTTTTAATTCAGTGATCAGCATAATTTGTTTCCACGGAATGTATGATATACAACTGTTTCACCCTAAAACACCGATACAACACTTCCAGCCATGTCAATAAATCGCAAAAAAGTTTCCTTTTGGTCTCGAATTCTCACTGTACATTCCAGATTACGCTAGCCCGCCTGGTGGAACTTGGACAATCCAACCCAACGCAAAATCACGTGGACTAGCTTTTTCACTGCCATGGCTCCGTTGTAATGCTAGAATTTGCTATAATATATTCATGATATACATATATGTATATATGTATAGTGTATATTGTATTGTATTGTATATATGTTCCAGTGTTGCCCCCTTGCATCGTGGGATCCTCATGCTTGATATCAGCCTTTCTCAACAGGAGTTCCATCTGATAAATTGGTCGAAGCAAGTTTGGCAGCTACCACAAATGTGCGACAAGTACGCGGTTATTACAGCTGATAATGACTATGAGAAAGGGGAGATAGAGAACCATTTTTATTTGGTGTATTCCATTAAAAGTTGAGCATGTGTGGCGGAGAAAAACCGGCAACTTGGTTGCTTGAGTTTAGTTGTTTAATATGACAGAATGGGTCCGCTTAAGTTCTGAATGACATCTAAATATTGTGCTCAGCTGGATGCTGCCTATCTAAGATAGGTTTTTTCTTATCCGCTTTGTGCAATGCTGGTAAATAACACAGCAGGATGCAGGGTAGCTTAAAACTGTTTAAGTTGCTTTTGGTGTCAAGATATATTGATCCATTTTTGCCGTTTGTTGCTGACAAGAAGGATGTGACTGGGAAAATCGGCAACGTCAGCGACAGAACTAGGTGACCATTGTTGGCAGACAACTTGTTGCAAATTATATCCACACCCATGGTTGATAGTATCTTGCAAAATCCCGAAAGCTTTACACTTCGTCAGAAATTACTCATGGATTACAACATTCGACAGGCTGCATTGCATTTATATCAGTTGATGTCAACTGAAGCCCGAATACAGAAGTTACTCTGGGTGTCAACTGACGAATACAGAAGTTACTCTGGGTTCCGGAAATGTGAAATACCTAGATGACGTTTGACGGCTTTTCGTTGAACTTATTCCTTCCTATAACCAGGCCGTTATACGTCCGACAGGGGTAAAACGTTTATTATTATTACCACAAAATGTCGGTTCTTCATTTCTGTGACCTACGGAAAATACAAACCCCATGTTGGTTTATGTGCACTGCAACAAAGTTTTTAAATGATTTTTTCAGTTAAACTCCCTATTTGGTTGGGATATAACTATGTTGCTATGTACCCTCCAATTACTGGCAATATTTCTACATGCGCGGGATCCGAGTGCTGTCAAAACAACTTAGTGATACCTAAATAGTCATTCAGGGATGATATATAACTTAGTTATATAGATATATCTAGTCTTAAATAAAACAGTTGTGTGGGCACAGCCCGTAGAAAAAAATAGCAAGAAATTCTCTGCGAGATCGTGTAATGGCATCGGCCTCATTGCACAATAACAGACAATATAACGATTGTTCAACGAGTTAACTAGCCGTTTTATCAACATAAGAACCCTTTAATTGCTATAAATATAACATGACAAGAATCCTAGTGTAATTTAGACATGTGGCCGGGAGTTCACTTATCCGAAGTTCATCTTAATTAGTTGCACTTCGCTAAGTTTTTGAGAGAAAATATAAACCTGACGAAAATGATACCCGTAATTCACTGGTCTGCCATCATCGAACCTGATATCAGTGAAACTGCTCATTTCAAATCTCCTCGCTAACCTTGATCAGCGGATATGTATATACTCTTTTGACATCTTCAGCTGAGTGAGGGATTCGTTCTTCCACCTCGAGCGTTGCCATAAGGATGACCTTCACGGACACTTCGGGATTACTAATGCATTAGAAGGTCTTCAGTTCAGTCTTTCCTTGGGCTAATTGAACCCGAAGTTTGCTTGTCTACCTTGGGATATTTTTTTAAAGGCACGCATTTGATATATTTGTTTTTTCTGCCGACCGAGTGCTAGGATTTTTGTTATCGAAATCTCCCATTCGGTTTGCTTGCTTGTATAAATCTTCTAGGTCGTGCAATACCACTAGAACTGAAAGCTTGTGCTAGCTGTTGTTTGAGTTCGGACGTCGATGGGCTATGAAATATCACAATCTCAGCGCCTTCGGAGCCAGTTTTTGATACATAATTGTTTGAGCTTAAATGTTACTAGGAATTCGCAGCCGCTGAAACGATAGTAGAGAATGGAATACACTGTGATTATTGGAAGCGTTACTTTGACAGCTTATCGCAAGCACACGCGCAGTAAATGAGCAAACTTTGCAGGACCGTGTTTTCACTCGTGGGCAACTTCTAAGTTTGTGGCATCTGCATGTTAACCAAAGCGCGACCACATCCCAACTGAGCGAATGGTGCAGCCGGGCCGCTTTCAAAGTTTTTTTGTATGAAACCAAAAAAAAATTGGAATGCAGGAACTAAAAACAGGAGATATTTCACCTATATGACATCCATTATAAAAGCCGGGTGAGAGATACATATCCCTTCGTCTGAGTGAAAAACTGCGCAAGGTAGCCTAAAGATATTTTTCACCCCCCCCCCGGTTAACAGTGAAGTGCGGGACTGTTGCCATTTTTGTCTTGGTAAGAGTTGCACCACACCAAGCCCACTTCGTCAGCCAGACATAGCATACTTTCGTTCCTCTTGTCCCAGGAAAAATATAGTGACCTTATTACTACTTTATTCCTAACGATCACGGTTAGTGTCTGCGGGTTATTTTCGTCACACGTAGCTTGGAGCTTACAGCGGCGACTCAGTGACTGACGAACCGTACACTACGCTTCTGCTTAGTTAACTTAGTATCTTCCAGGTAAATTAGAGAACCTCTTCATTATCTTGGTATTCCCCGCTCAGCCAACAATTATTTTCCTGCTATCCCTCTTAAAAACAACCCCCGCTGCACAACCCTCTCGTCGGATTCTTCACCTGGGATAAGAACCGCTACAGCTCCATGTCTAATCTTAATCACCCGTACCAACCAGTCCAACGGCTGGCCCACTCCTCGCTATCTCGTTGGCTACGTGCTTACTTTCGCAAAACTGCGCAAATATTCTCATCCTGGTCTTACACCTCCTGATCGGCCGACGCCAACTTCCAGGCACGAGATACAAATCCTACCACCAATGATGACCTCTCAAATCGCTACCTGAAGGATCTGCGTACTTGCTCAATAACACTTGGCTTTGTGTCCCCATACTACAACGGTACCTTCAAGTTGTCCTTGCTTGCTTGGTCAGCTCGCTCAGTCAACTGTCATTCCCAGTTCGTTTTTTTAAATAATGGATGCTACATTGTCCGATACTTCATAATACTCACCAGATTCTACTGAGCTCAACTCATTCCATCCTCCCTGATAGCGCTAGACTTCGCAGTATCTGCTCCAAACTCCACGTTTGACGACCGTTCATTCTGGGTTGTCCTCAGTTCACACCCCCATGAACCTCCTGCTGAATCGAATTAACCATGGCTCTACACCGGTCTGAATCAACTTGTGACCATCCCATTGTCTAGGCCAAATCCAACTGCCAAAGCAATAACTAACCCCTGTCTGATTACCACAGCCTTGACGTTCGTTACTGTGCTGTCCATAAACCGAAGCATGTCAGCACAATTATGGCACAGCACTGCCACGCCAAGTCTCAGAGCACTCTTGCAGACACTTTCTTCCTACTCTAGACTTTCCTCCCGCATATTGAACTACATCTACGAAGGCCATGTTTCTCGCCCATTACCGCCTCTGAGGTGAGTTTGTTCTAACACACTGAATACTTTACTTAGAGCTAAACCTCCCGGTTTTGCGATTTCAGTTTGCTCCTTCCAGAAGTTCAACGATTAAACTTGCGCCGCCTGTGTCTGCCTCATGCACGAGCGACCCCGTAGCAATCATTTACAACTAATCTTCGTCAAACAGCGACACTAGTGAGTCTTCCCGGTTTCAATGTAAACCATATTTTTAGATGAAACTTGCCGTGCATCTTAACTTCGAAATTATAATAAGAATAGGTTTATTTCACAACTTGTAGACAACGTGCTAACTGAGGCATGATCGGGTCATTACAAACTGAAAGCGCGAGCAACAGCGCAGCGAGGAGGAAGTTGCAACCAACTGGGCATCCTTACTACGTGAAAACTCAGTGCGGTTGTGGGAAACAAATAACAAACACAAGGGGCAAGAGGTGCGACTAGTCCAAATGATGAACTTGGTTGACATGAATTAGGACTGAACATTATTGCTAGCCATGAGTGACCTTGGGTGGTTAAGTAAATGACTGGGGTTCCAGAGAGCGATTTGGAGATGAGAAGGGAAGAATTCGAAGTGTATACAAATGGCAGGTTCCGTCTCAAAAATATGCTTAACGTTGAAACTAAGTAGTGATGCAAGGAATTCCGGTGTAAACGACAGTATCGGTGGGGAGATAGTGGCAATGCATAGGACCGGACGAACGCCGTGAATGAAACTGAACTTGTGGAAGGGGCAAACAGAAACTGTAGCGGAAAACCAGGTAGGTTGAAGTTGAATGGATGGTTCGGTGGCTTAGAAAGAACTGGTTCCCAAGGTGGTTGGCGTCGGGCAAAACTCTGTTCGTAGATGCGAATGCAGGCTCGAATGAGCGATAGCTGACAGTCTAGGGTAGAAAGAAAACTAATGCAGGGGTGTTATCAGACTGGTTGTAGCAGTTTTACATCGTTGCGCTGACGTACTTCGGTCTCTGGGCTGCCCTGTAAAGCTCGTCGAGATTGTCGGAATCGGACAGGGGATACGCATTTTCGTGGCAGCTGGACGTGGGTTGTATGAAGGGATTGGTAAGGATAGAGCCAGAACAATATAGAGTCAGGGGTAATTTTGACTCAGTTGCAGGACCATTCGGGTTTAGACCGGGGACCATCCAGATCAAACCAATGATGGTCATGCGGGGAGTTTTGAGCAACTACAGCCGAAGTTTCAAGCTTGAGAAGAGGAGGGAAGGAGGAAGGAATAGGATATAAGTAATAGCGTCCGGTGAGTTTCATGGGGCATCAGATAAAAGGGTGGACAATAGAATATATGACAGCAAGGCAAATAAACCTAAAAAGGTGGATTTTTGGTCGTTGTTTGGCTGACCTAACAACGAAGAACTAGTCGCGGTTGACAATGTATTGTTGGGACAAAACAGATATTTGCTATTGGGCTTCTGCTCGGCATGTGTTCAGTACCCTCTGATAGCGATGCCCGCAACCTTTAAATAGTAACGGCTCGATCATGCCTCGGCGCTAAGTATTCGCATAATGGAATTGAAGCGTCAAAAGGTATGACGTGTTTCTAATGAACTTAAGCAACCGGGCAATCCAGTACAATTTTGGGGCCTAGCGGGATAGGTCTGTTTGTTCATAGCCAAAACACTCTCGTTTAAACGAACGTGTTCCTGTTCTGGCTTAATTATTCCGGTGAGTCCACGCCAAAGGGAATCACTGGGGTCGATTTTCGCTCTTATTATAGCTCATCAGCAGTGCATATCCAGTGGCCGTGCCGGGATTTGAACCCCGGACACCTGACATGCGAGGCGAGCGTGTAACCACTAGTCTACCAACGCACGTTTGAAGCATCTGAATTATCACGTCTGAACAGGTGGAATCGTTCACACTTGACCGGTGTGATTGGTGACTGTGAACAAAAATACCTATCGCGCAAAACCCCAAAATTGCAACCAAAAACCTGCCCAATGGGTTTCAAGCGTGTGCTACGCTACCTACATGGAAAGCCCTGACTGGCGGGTCAGTCGATCGTCACAACCAGGAAAGTTTGGTGAGTCGGGCACACCAAGTGTGAACACGTTCGCCTGTTCAGACGTGATAATTCAGATGTGTCAAACGTGCTTTGGTAGACTAGTGGTTACACGCTCGCCTCGCATGTCAGATGTCCGGGGTTCAAATCCCGGCACGGTCATCGGATATGCACTGCTGATGAGCTCTAATAAGAGCAAAACGCGACTCCGGTGATTCCCTTTGGTGTGGACTCACCGGAATACTTACACCAGAACAGGAACACGTTCGTTCAAACGAGAGTGTTTTGGCTATGAACAATCGAGTTTAGAGTGCTAGTCCAAACTGTCGAGCCTCATTTAGGCATCATGAAATCTCGGAGATGCTGCGAAACTATGCCACCAACCTTTCCGGTAAATGTATGGCTGCTTCAGTGGACAATGTAATATGGTGGGTTGCAAAAACAGGAACGCACATTAGGGCGGTTTAAGGTTTGAGACCATACGCACCAAAATGCAACCTTTTCAATCAAAATGTTTTACTCCATAAGTAAAGGTTTTGTAGCCAGGTGCATTGCTAGGCTGTCTCAGTTGGTTTGCTCCTACATTTCGGGAATTAGGTATACATATAACTGAAATTCTGGATGATGCTATGGATCCCATGTTATGCCGCAAATGGATTGACATTAATAATTGTGGTGCATAGTCTATTACCAAGGTAATCAAATGTGGTGGCCTTTCGAAAAAATCCCGGAACTCGTGGTATAAAGTTGGTAATCCCCAACAACCCACTAAAATAGCCTGGAACAATCCCACTGAAAGCCCACAGAGGTTACATTTTCAGGGTGAGTAGTAATCTACCTTCACATTCCTGCAGCTCATCCAATTACTTTGTCCATTCTAGCAATCATAGCTCTGGTGGAAATGTCTGGTGAAATAATTTACATACATCGCTGAGACCCCGAGATGCCTAAATGGCGCTCAAAAGTTTGGACTGGTACTCTGAACTCAACTCAACTGCCCGTTTAGTCCATCTGGGACGTGTCATAGCCCTCAAA